TCCAAGGGGAAGACTGACAAGGATGGCTGGTAAGACATTCATTCATAGCCTGATCAGCAAATTCTTGTCTAACAACAATCACAGATTAATCTTAACTACCTCTCCATTGCACAAATATGAAGGTACCCTCCTGGCCATGGTGACATCTTCCCATCCCTGATGAACAGCGGCAAGCTCGATTTACTACTCTCGCAGGTTTGCAATCATCTGGGGAAAAGTTTTCATCACAAGTTTCCACGCATGTAACATTATTGTTATTTTGACAATTGCAGGGAAAAGAATACGTTTTCATCGCAAACTCAGACAACTTGGGCGCTATAGTCGACATGAGTATCCTTATGTATATTCAATATTTACTTTGACAAAAAATTAGGTCTCAGAAAAAAGATACCCTGATTATTTACTTAACTATTGAATAGAGATACTGAACCACTTGGTCCACAAGCAGAATGAATACTGCATGGAGGTATGTAATTTCATAAATATACATTGAAGATATATTAAATTTGGTTTGGTGGTAAAGAAGTTTAACAGCCTTCCTTCAGGTTACCCCGAAAACCTTGGCCGATGTGAAAGGTGGCACACTGATCTCATATGAAGGAAGGGTTCAGGTTAGCTTATATTTCGTTCCTTGTTGCAGCATAAGCTTGCAAACCAATTTTATGAATGACAGTGGAGAATCGCGTCTGGAAACATGCTCTTTTAGGACTAGGCATTTCTCATTTCTCCTAGCTTTCCCTAAATATAACGACAACAAGTTTCCATTTTATTTTTCCAGCTTCTGGAGATTGCACAAGTTCCTGATGCACATGTAAGTAATAAGCTAGTAATTGCAATGATATAATATAAATGATCAGAAACAGATAGAAGTTACTGTAGATAATTTATGAGATTACTTCCACATTTATCTGAATGTAGGTGGATGAATTCAAATCGATCGAGAAATTCAAGATCTTCAACACTAACAACTTGTAAGTGAATTCATAGTTCTCATTTCAGTTTTTAAAAGATCATTTGATTGTTATATAACACAGCTACCTGGATTGATAGATGGGTGAGCTTGAAGGCTATCAAGCGCCTTGTCGAGGCTGATGCCCTCAAGATGGAGATCATTCCAAACCCGAAGGTAATAATGCATTTTAGAGAACTACTTTTACACAAGGATTGCTTCATGAGCTTTGTTAGTTATACCTATGATTTGTGAATAATTTAACATGAATTTTGATGGACAATAAAATCATTTCAGGAAGTTGAGGGCGTGAAAGTCCTTCAGTTGGAAACTGCAGCTGGTGCCGCAATCAGGGTACTAACAAACTACTACTAACCTATATACCCATAATCATAGCCTTATGCTAGATATAAATATGACAAATCATATTTTTTTTGAATCAGTTCTTTGACCACGCAATCGGCATGAATGTTCCGAGGTCCCGGTTCCTACCAGTGAAGGCAACATCAGATTTGCAGCTAGTACAGGTTTGTGCTATATGCTGAACAAATTCTTTAAGTTAACACTCCTAATTCTAACTCAAATTACTTTTACCCTGCAGTCTGATCTGTATACCCTGGTTGATGGCTTCGTTACACGCAATTCAGCTAGAACAAATCCATCAAATCCCTCAATTGAACTTGGCCCTGAGTTCAAGAAGGTCAGGCTCCAACACTAACTCCTCGCCAGAACGAAAGAGTTTTACCATTGACTTTTGCACTCCAAATGTAAGTAATCCGATCTTTTTTATACAAACACTGGCAGGTTGGGTGCTTCCTTGGCCGCTTCAAGTCGATTCCTAGCATTGTTGAGCTCGACAGCTTGAAGGTTTCCGGTGATGTTTGGTTTGGTTCTGGCATCGTGCTGAAGGTATTCAGACAAAGTTGTTGAATTATTACAATCTTTACTGTCGTTGCAGTTCTTAGACAACATGTTCAGACTATTTATGACCTGCTATTTTCAATGCATGCATTACCTGGATAATGTGTAGCTTCGCTTCTCATATGATTGCTGTTCTGACTTATGGCTATTTATGAAGATATACATCTCAAAAGTATTTAAACCTTGGAGTAAAGATGTATGTTTTTTAAACTTTTGTAGGGCAAGGTGACCATCACAGCAAAACCTGGTGTTAAGCTGGAAATCCCAGATGGAAAAGTGATTGAGAACAAGGTATCTTTCCCAAGATGCATGTTCTCATTGGTGTTTCATGAATTCAGCAGTTTAAAAGCAACAGAGATCTTAGTTCTTGTCTGTTTACTTGTTTATCACCATTGGAATAAGTTTCAAATTAAACGAAAGAATTACTGACATCATTAAAATAATCATAAGTCTTACATAATTGACTAAATTTCATTATTTAGTTTCTGGGTAACAAACTAAAACAACTTATTTGAGACGTCCATTTATATGTCCCAATCAAAAACTAAGCTGCCAGCACCATCCATCTTTGCTATAACAAAATATATATTTCTTTTATTTCAGGATATCAACGGCCCTGAGGACCTTTAAATGAGCATCAGAACATGCTGACATCACAATGGCAGATCAATTTTACTATATAGAATCTGCTATGAGTCATACATGCACCATGACATTGTGGTGATTATCTGTGATACAGTTTGCTTCAACATAAATACATTGAAGTGAACATTTCTACCTACTTAAGTTTTGCTTCTAATCTTAGATTTTACTCCCTCTGTCCCATAATGTAAGACGTTTTTTGACTCTAGTGTAGTGTCAAAAACTGTCTTACATTATGGGACGGAGGGAGTACTTGTTAGAAACAAGTCCTTTCAGGGCAAACAAACAAAATCGACAAAATGCAAAAGCTTTGCGTCCCAACGTTTCGATATATGTCCAGCCAAAATATAATATTAACATATTCTCGGTTACAGCTCTCGTTGATAAGAATGAAAAATGTATAAAGCAAATACATCCCTCTAAAATTTGTGAAGCTTCACAGGTACCTCATCAGTATTTTCCATGTGTAAGCAAAAATGTTCAACTATCTGTAGGAGGGATCACTTCCAAAAGCTCTATATCCAGTTCAAAACTAGCATCAGCCTGCAAAGCAGGATGGAATTAAATAACTTATCAATAGCTGAATGCACTCAGATGCTCAATCATCAAACTAGAAGAAACTGAGGTTTTACCGGTATCTCGCCCTGCCCCTTTTTCCCATAACCCAGGTCTGGAGGGACAATCACCCTCCTCTGCATAACCAACACACAAACAGAACAGTAGATCAGGTCAGTATCATACCGAAGACGAAAACACCGGATTATCTTGGCTTCACATGTGCTAGTTCTCCTTGTCCATACCTTCCCCCCAACTTTCATCCCCTCGGTTATCATGTACATGGCCCGTGGAGGCTTCGGCGAAGCCTGCGCGGAGAACAGCCCGTTGGCGGTGTCTGCGAAATCGCGCTTCCTCTCTTTTCCAGGCAGCGATCCGACGGTGAACACATAGGGCTACTAGAGGAAGGCAGACAAAAATCTTAGTTCCTACCGCGCTAAACCAGCAGCACTACCGTATATGGTGTCAGGAGTATTTTGCCACATAACCTGTGCGATGCTCCGGTTCCCCGCCAGGAGCTTGGCCTCGCGGCTCGACACCACAGTGATGCTACGGTATATGCAGTCGAAATGAACCTTGAGAAAAACAGCAATGGCAATTAGTTCCAGCTCAAGAATGAAAAGCAGGGTGTAGGTGGCATGGAAGGTTAAAGCAATTACCTGGACCGTTGATCCCTTCTCGGCAGTTGGGCCCTTCCCTTCAATAAGATCGTAGTACTTCAGGCCATCAGCTGCCTCCAATGGTTCTCACATCAGAGGTTTATTTTTTTATTTTATTTTTTGCGAGAGACATCAGAGTTTAATTTAACCAATGTACCGTAGTAATGATGATTCATGAGTCGTAAAGTCTTTAATTTTTACTGTAAACAGCAGTTGCAATTCTTAACATCATATGGATTAATTGACAGCCAAAATGAAATAAAATCTGAGACTAATTAGCCTCAGATTTCAGTCGGAAAAGGCCAAGCTTTGGGGCAGAAATCTGAGCAGAAATTGAGGGGGAGGGGGGGCGCTGACGTACGTGTGGACGCGTAGTCCTCCGGCGCGATGGTCCGGCGGCCCCTCCTGGCGGCGAGCGCCGGCGGGGAGGAGGAGGAGACGGCGGTGAGGAGGCCGGCCGAGAGGAGGAGCTGCGCGGCCGCCCTCCGCCGGGAGACGCAGCAGGGGACGGTCGAGGGAGGAGGAGGAGGGGGTGCTGGGGAGGGAAGAGGGTGGCGGCGGTGGAAGGTTCTGGAAGGCAGGGCGGAGGGCGCCATGGACGACGGAGGAGGAGGCATGGGGAAGGGATGATGGTGGGTCGGAATGGCGCGCGCTCGGCCGCCTGCCGCCACCACATCAGCATATCCATAAACGGTAGGGATCAGAAAAAACAGAATATTCCATTTTCCCCATTTTATACTTCATCATTTATTACATTATATTTTTTTAGTGTTTCCCCATAATTTATTTCTCTTCCTGGCTTCCTATTTAGTACTCTATTTTATTAATAGTGTTTTCACAAGCAGTGAAGGTGGTGTCTTTTATTTTTTTTACAGAATGTATCCTTGTAACTAATTGTATTCCAACCAAGAACATCAAATAAAAATCTGGGATGTAGAAGTTCAAATCTGTGCAATTTCACAAGAATAAAATTAAATGATAGACCTGCCTTCTCACATCCATTCAGTGCCAAGGCAGGCAACTGCAGAAACTCTGAAGAGAAAAAAAGCACTCAGACAAACACATTCCTTCATTTCACCACAACACCATCAAGGACAACAGCTTATATACAAGTTCCCAGTTGCCAGGAACCTACAGAATAATTTCCCCTACACAGCCTCTGGAAGTCTGAATCTATTTCCCCCTCCATTACATCGGGTAAGCTGACCCGAAGATTAGCGTACCTCGGGTCGAAAACCTGTATATATATAATGTCTTAGATTTGTACACAAGAACTAGCCTTCTATATCAATAACGCTGCCGTTCCTGACCGGTCTGGCCGGCCTCTCTATGTCGAGGGCGGTCATCGGTGTGGTGGCCGTCGCACTCGCAGGCAGGCTCATGGACCGCTTCTTCCGGTTCTTCGGTGGCTCCTTGTCGTCGATGAACGAGATGAACCTCCTGAGGCTCTTCTTCGGCTCGTGTCTCATGTACTTGCGCAGCATGATGCCGAAGTAGATGAGCAGCGAGATGACGCACGCCATGGCACAGATTATGAACAGGCCCCAGAAGCTCTCGAGGCGGAGCTGGTTCGAGTTGATCATCTCGCTTTCGTCGGCTGCGCACTCGCCTGTCTTGAGCCACTTGTCGTGGATCCGCTGCAGCTCCCCGTTCTCTGACAGTGACAGGATCGCGGTGGACAGGTCCACTTGCAGAGGGGAATCCCGTGGAAATGCCTGGCAGAATGAACTTTGTAAGGTGCTATGTCTTGGCTCATGAAATAAAGCGGGTGTAGATTTTAGATTTCACCCGCAAATAAGTGCAAGAAAGGTTACATAATACTCCCTCTGTAAACTAATGTAAGACGTTTTTACAGTTCAAATTGAACTGCAAAAACGTCTTATATTAGTGTACAGAGGTTGTACTAGACAGCACACACAACTATTGGAAGTTAAAACTGTCATTGCAGGATTTTAACACCAAAATGTTGTATCGTTATAATTTTTTAAGCTATATTAAATAACTTGGTTTAAATGTACTTACAAAGCCCCATCCTCTGCTGGTGAAATCTGAGCCAGCTACCGCAATCTTGCAGTAAGTTGACAAAAACAGTTCAACATAGGGGCGCTCGTCAACGATGGCCATAACACCTCCTTTCTTAGGGCCAAGCTCGAGCGCTTTAGCATATTCTTTTGGGGAACCGAGAGCTCTTAGCCTTGACCGTGAGATGTTCAGTTCATTAACCATGTAGTCTTGTGCAAAAGAACCAACTTGGAAACCAACAGGAGCATCGCTATTTTTCAGGTCATCGATTCCTTTTATAGAAGTATCAAGTTGTTGCACGGTCAGGATGGAAGTAAGACTCGCGGTATAGCTGGATTGAATGATCAAAACAACAAATAGCCATATGAGTAACACACCGCGCCCTAAGGTGCTCATGGTATTTTCTCCTGGACGAAAATCACGAGCCATGTGTCAGAACAAAATTACTTTATATATATAGCCAAAAAAACACAAGAGAGGTTCATTTACTCACTGTGTGCAAAGAACAAAGTCGAAAAGCTGAACCTGCAGACAATAGAAGATTGAGATTATAATCACAGTTTTGAGAGCAAGGAATGACTCTGTCATAAGAGCATTTTGCAAGAGTATGTGAAAAAAGAAGACAATAAAACCAATGCATCATATATATAATAGTTAATTGATAATCAGAAGATGCTTCATTTGGGTGCATTAACTGGCAGTTGTTCTAGTGAGGATACAAAACATGCAGCTAAGCTCCTTACCAGAAAATAGTTATCATTTGTTGTCGTGGCGAGCCGCGGAACTCATCATTGATTCGATGTTCAAGAACCCAAACAACCACACCCACAACAAGAAAGAACAACCCTGTAACACACCACATCTCCAAAGTAAATGGCTGCAAGAATGCCCAGGATGTTGTTATATGCCTTTTAACCGGAGCCAAGATAACCAATCCTGTTTCAATGAAAGGCTGGGTGAAATCAGCAATTACTGTGCGCTTCATTGTAACTGCGATATCCCCTACAGCTCCATCAAGCTCCTGCAGAATAAGATAACCCTGGTCAGTACGGTATGATGGAATGTGTAGAAAAAGGAAAAAAAAACATACATACTTACATTTGATTCAACCATCTGTATGAGTTTGTCATAATGAGGATTTTCAGTACCACTCCCAAAAGGTACAAACTTGTAGGTAACAGGATAAGGAAGCAAAGCCAATGCCTGGGTAAAGACATCAATGCAATAACCCTTCATTGACCCGGTAACATTGTCTTTCGTGACAAACTCCCTGAAACTGAATCTGTTGGGAATACCAATTTTTAACTCCTTGGCATTAGAAGGAAAAACCCATCCTCGAGGCCTCTGTGCAGTCTGCCCAGGCCAAATAACATCATAGAGTTGCTGATTGGCTAGAGAAGTATTTGGGGACTTTGAATATAGAGCCTCTGGAGGGACAGTTGATAACAAGCCAGAATAGTTTGACCAAAAACCAATGGTCCGCATGCCATTTCCGATGACATTTATGATCTCATATGCAGGATGAATGAGGTCACCTGAAGCATCGAATTGCACTTTCCCAGATGGCCCAGTGAAGTTTACCTTTCTAATCTTGTCCAATAATTTCTTTCCCTTGTCAAAAATACTCATTGCTTCAAGGTGAAGAGTTCCCCCAGCTCCATCACGCAACCGCGAGTCATTTGAGAAGGAAATGCTACCACCATCATCAAAGAAGGCATCAAGAGCCCGAGCTACTGCCCATACACTATCATAAACATAAAAACCATAAGTATTTACACGAAGATCACTATGGTTGTACTTCTGACTTTGCCTGCTCCACTTGGAGATCAAATTACCCTTCATTTCTGAGCTGGGGATATGTGGCCGTAAAGTAAGAACACCTTGCATACCAGATATAGTCTCAGCAGGAACTGATGAATTAGCATCAAGATATGCAGAAAGCCAGTCAGTTGCAATCCATACATAGCCATTGCCCATCATGTTTAGTCGGTTTGCCATAGAGAAAAGCTTGAGTCCAGGTTCAGCACCAGTATGGAGGATGATAACACGAGACTCCATATAACTGACACTAACCAACAAATTAATAAGCTCACTCTTTTTAGCATTTGCAGGAAATCCAATCTTGTAGGAAATTTTGCAGCGCTTCGCAGTGAGTGCATCATCCAAAGCAGCAATGCCATTTCGACCAAAATCATCATCAATGTATATGGCAGTCACTATCTTCCAGTGGTTGTAGTCCACAACTGCTGCCACAGCCGCCATTTGATAGAGATCACTGGGAGCAGTCCTGACAAAGAACGGGAACTGTATCGATGAAAGAGTAGCATCAGACGCAAAGGACATCAAGGGGACTCGGAGCTCATTTGCTACATATGAAATGATATGAGCAATTGTGGAGCACTGGGGGCCAACGATTGCAATAACATCAGTCTCCATGAACTGTAAAGCTGATACAAGGAATACGGTATCATTGTCACAACTCCAGAACAGAAGCAACTATTTTAACAATACAAAATGAATGAGTGACGTTAAAGCTAGTCTACCTTGAACCATGCCAAGGAAACCATCAAAGCAATTTGTATCCTTGGTTTCAACCTTTAATGTTGTTCCATTTAGAACTGTTGGATCAGAGTTGATATCCTCCAAGGCTGCATTGATGGCAATCGCCGCAACACCTCCAGTGGTGGAGTTCAATTGAAGAATAGACCCAATATTCACAACTGGAGGCCTTGCAGCTAAGCTCTTGGAGATGCCATTAGGGTACAGGAGCAGAGAGAGAACCAACAACATGGGAAAAGCTGTCCCCATTGTCCCTCAAACAGTGCAAAGGCTACTGGATGCTTATTCGCATCTTAGCAGATTATTAATGAGTTGGGATCCCCCTGTAAGAAAAAATCACAGAGCAGGACTGAATATTGCAAAAAAAAAAGCAACTAAACTGAGCAACAACAGATGTTTCGACCAAACACGTTAAGAATGAAAATAATCCATTTGTAGTAAGCAACACAACATTTAGGTTTGTGCCATTGATGTTATCCGCTTATACTGCTCCTAGGAAGAAGATAGAGATCGTAGGTTGGGCCGTTAAGCATCCAGCATTTTTGTTCACATATACTCATCCAACAAAACCACAAATCATCGTGGTCCTTGAATTAAAGCCGAACGTATGGTGTGGACAAACTGCTCTCAACAGATTTCAGTTTGCACACACTATTGCTATGCAGGGAACAAACTTTGGATTATGTAACGTATAAGGTATTTATTCTAATCCTTAACCCCTTGTGTCAATCATCAGACAGCAAACAAACAAACAAACAAACATATTATACCAGGATACTATGCTTAAGGGTGCTTCCTGCAAAAAGGAAACACTGCCTAAGATGCCAGCTGAGCAAAGTACCAAACCAGCTAAGCACAGATTCCAGCATTTCATTCATTTAGCAACTGACGATAAACGGACTGAAGAACTCAAAAGACACCAGGCCAGCGGATACCGTAAGAAGCAATCAGCCGAACACCGACCCAGTGGTAACACCATCACAACAACCAGGGCCGCCATTAGCGGGAGATCAATCCACAGCCAGTAGGGGGTCAATCCAAATGTTGAAAGAAAAACAGTAACAAAGAGGCAAGTGCCAATCTGAAGGAAGCAATTAAAAAACCAACGAACTGAATGTCGCAAAGAAAAGCAAGTTAAAAGAACAACAACAGATGATTCAACCAAACTCACTCGTTAACAAGAATGTGAAAAACACCCATTTCTTGTAAGCAACACAACATTTGGTTTGTGCCATTTATGTCATCCACTCATACTGCTCCCAGGAAGAAGATACAGATCCTAGGCCGGGCCGGCATTTTTGTTCACACCTACTCATCCAAGAAAAGCAAGAAGCGATGTGGCCGCCCTCGATTGCCAGCCAAAACATGTGACCCAGCAGATTCCGCACACACTATTGGTACGGCGCGAGGGAGAACAAAAGCCTGCAGGTGCCGAACTTTAGATTACGCAGCAAGGCATCTATTCTATTCCTTGCTTCACCCCTTTTCTCTTGTCAATCAGACGGACAGCAAGCGAACAAAGGAACGCCAGCAGATTATACCGGCCAGGATACTACCAGTGACGCTCAAGGTTGCTTCCTGCAAAAAGGGAAACATCTGCCTGCAAAAATGGAAGCATTTGCGTGCACAGATTTGGGCCAAACCAACTGACACAAATTTCAGCATTTCGTCAGTTGAGCAGCTGACCATAAACGGAGTGAAACCCCAGGGCCAGCTCGACCGACACGGTACGGTACGGTACGGCATGGCACGGCGGCAACCGGTCGAACACCGCGAGGACCGGCGGGAGTAGGCCCGGCGGCGACGGCCGCCATTGCCGGGGGGTCAGTCCACGGCCAGTAGGGGAGGGCAAGAACGCAGCTTGGCCTCGGATTCCTGGACCCGAGGGCCCAAGAAACGGGGGAATGGCGGGCATTGGTTCCGGAGAAGGGGATTGCAGAGCAAGAACAGCGAGAAACGCACGGAGATTCGGACTTACGGGGCTGGATGCGGCGCGCTCGGAGGAGGAAATCTCGGCCTCCCACCCACACGGATGCTGCGGCGGCGGCGGCGCTGGACGGAGAGGTCGGGGGAGGAGCAGGGGGGGAGCAGGAGGACCCCACGACGGCGACCGGGAGCTGCTTCCGTCGAGCTCGTCATATTATTTTTAGGTGAAGGTATTATAGCGGAGGGGGGACAGGGGAGGAAGAGGGAGATGGAGATGGTACCCGACGCACTGACAGGCGGGACCCACCCCGAGGGGAATGCGAATGCGAGCACATGGTCTGCCATGTCGGCCATGGACCTATTATTACATGATTTTTTTAGAGCTATTATTACATGATTTATATGGCAAAGCATATTTTGTGATCTAGTATGTGTTGGGTTTCTCTATCTATGTACACTAAATAAGGAAAGAAAAATAGTTTCAACATCGGATTGGTTTGACGATGCTATGTCTTTCTATATGAAAATTGTTTATTTACTATGTCCGGTGATCCCTATTAAGCATCCATGGCTGAATGGTTAAAGCGTCCAACTCATAATTGGTAAATTTGCGGGTTCAATCCCTGCTGGATGCACATGAACGGAAACATTCCATAAGTCTATTGGAACAGGCTCTCTATCCATGGAATCTCATCCATCATCCATACATAACAAATTGGTAGCGCGGCTGTCTGCCTGAATCTCGGGGCGATCCCCTCGCCGATATGCTTGGCGTGATTGCCAGTCTCCATCGTGCGTGGTAGTTTACTGTTGCGGCGACATGTCCCTCTAATGCCTTTGCAAGTATTTCGGTGGCTGGATTTCTTCATGTTGTCCATTATATTGTCGGTATGATCTACGGTGGTGCAACGACGATAGGTTCACCCGCATCTTCATTTTGGAAACAATGCCTATGTGCCTCTAGGTTCAGTTTCCCCCGTCATATCGGATTGTGTTTGATGTTTTATTGATATCATATAAACCAGCTTTCATTTTGGAAAAGAACATTAGTCCGTCTTGTGCTCTCAGATATGCATGAGTGTTAGCTAAATTCCCTTTAGCATGTCAAAGAAGGGTTCCTTTGGTGCTTTCGTCAGGAGATTGAACACGAGGACCATTATCATTTGTCTTGTGAGAATTCAACATTCCGCTCGTAACTTACAAAGCAAAATGCGCCGTTGTTCTTAAGTACAAGCCATGTTTATCTTTGTCTCAAGTCAAACTTAGTTAAGCTTGAGCAATTTCATAAAACAAAAAAAATCCGCATCCACGCAAAAAAAAAATATCGACAAAGGGGCCACATGGACCCATTTTCAATATGAAAATGGAGCCTGGGATACAACAAAACAACAACACCCGAGGAGCTCCTTGGCTCAGATGAGCCCGGGAGTGAATAGTAAAGTCATTTAAAATACTAAAAACATTCAAGAAATTCCCATTTTATTTGTGGTGAAAGATGCTTGAGTGTGCGATGTCCGTGCCAAATTTGATGATGTTTGAACATTCAAGGAGCTCGTGACAAAAGAAAAACAAATCCGGGTCTGAAAGAAACATCTGAAAAACAACATTGTTCATGCTTGGATTTTTTTTGCCGCACGCTCCTGAAATGTTCAAACATCAGCAAATTTTGCACGAACATCACATATATGCACATCTTGCTTGAAAAAAAATCATTTTTTATTTTTGTTTTCTACTTTTAATTGCGTTACTATTCACCGGGCTCATTCTGAGCCCGGGCACCGAATTGGATATTGGAACACCCGAATACTACTACTATTAAAATGGATGCACCGCCGCACAATTATGAATTCACGCAATCAACATCATCGAGTGCATCATGAAATGTTCTTCTTTTCCCCAGTGTATTTTATCCGCCACTCTAGACGTGACAAAGAAAATCATACGTACGTACTACCATAAACTTTGTCAAGCTTAAACAAGTTTTGAGGGTAGCGTGATGCACGTGGAAGACCGGATCGAGCCGAGGCCATCCCTTGCATGGGGCCACGTGGCGAGATGTCACCGGTGAAGACGCATGCATCCGGCCGGCCGGCCGGTCCAGCCGACGCCGTTTCTCCTTGTCCCGGTCGTCCGTTGCGTACGGTACATGACATTGTACGGTGGTCCAGGACTTTGTACTTAGCCGCTGCGTGTGCATGCAACCTTGCTAAAAAGAAGAACCCTGGCTAGAGTGCGTGGCCGGGCAAAGGAAGGCATCTTGCGAGCTGCCCATTTCTTTTACAAAAATATACCTGAAGAATAGAAAAGAAAACATGTGTGCGATTGTTTCCTGGTCACGTCACAACGATTGGACCCTCGCGTGCTCGATTAGATTGGATTATGGTGAAATATGGATTAGCATCCATGTACGTAAGTTGGTTGTCGCTCTCTTGCCTCATCAGTCGTTGCTTGATTGATTCCTTTGAGAATATTGAAGCCTTGGTTTGAAACTTGGACTATGTTGCGTACGCATGTCACACATGTAATTAAGAAATTCTTGTAGGAATGACAGGGACTGCGGATGACCAGGAGGGAGACATGATGGGGATGACTTGGGCAGATAGATGCAGCAGCCCTAGCTTCCAACAATTTTCAGCCGTAATCAATATGGTTATATCCTAACTACTACTAAGTGAACACCTCAGCTGTTATATTTAGCTTAGCATGAGAGAATATGAAAACCAAACGTGTACCAGAAGCTCGACATGAAGCTGTCTCGCGACTGTATCTCTTGGTCTTGTATCAACCTCCATGCCTTTAATTATGAGAAATTGCTTTCTGTAAATATATATACTATCATTGTTTAGGTCATGACCGAGACAAGGATATGTAATTTGTGTTCTTACTGAGATTTCCGTTAACATGATTTGTGATTTTCTCACAAAAAAAACATTTGCCATTGACACGATTTGTAATGTACATTTTTTTTCAGGAACACAGACAGCGTTCTTGCTTACTCTTTGCTTTCCATAAATGATGCTTGTGACAATTATTAAAAGTGTAATGACATTTTGATGGAATATCTGTAGGCATCCTAGCTAGAGTGTGTGACAAGGCAAAGGATGGTATTGATTTGATTTTCCAAGACTAATAGAAACCTGACCAGTGAAAACTGACATACAGTACGCGTGTTTTTCCTGGTCATGTCACAATGATTGGATTCTCGTATGCTTGACTAATTAGATTATGGCAAGATACGATGGACCATTGGCATGGTGCAAGTTGTTGGTTCATGCCCTCTTGTCTGATTTGCTTAGGCTCTGTTTGTTTCATAGATCCTAGGA